TAATGGGAAAAAGAGATAAGATAAAATCTAATCAATAAATAGATTAAAAAAACATTTTAATATAAAAAGATATATTTATTATCTTAAAAAAAATTTATTATCATATATTTTTATTATTATAAAATTTTATAAATTTTTTTATAAAAAATATGTCGAATAATATTTTAGACCTTTAATTTGATAGGTGAAATTAGGACATAGTCACTATCACATCAAATTGACTTAATATTTATTAATATTATAGATTTATTGTAAATCTTATACCAATTGTGACCCACTCCAAATATTTTATTGGCATTATTTGGATACACAAGAATCATGTGTTGTTTACCCCTTCCTATTGATTCATGTTGGATCAACTCAACAAAATGAGAGACCACATGGAAGTGCTTGATTTAACTGTGCTCAATTTATTCCACATGTTCTTCCCATTCTAACTTCATGTGAATCATGTGGTGTTCCCCATTCCATATCAAATTGAATGCCTCATGATGGATTTTGCTTTTATTTGTAATAATACAATAAATAATATTATAATTGGATATGATAACCCAAATCCAAAACCTATCAATAGATTCTGTCACTCACCCAAACTCAAATTAATTTGGGTCTGCAATTTCCCCTCCCTTCAAAAATGCAATTTTAATATATATATATATATATATATATATATATATATATATATTTTTTTTTTTTTTTTTTTGTGGACCAAATCTCTCTACAAATATCAAGTGAAATAATAAATTTATTTCCATTTTTTATTATATTTTATATTTATTTTCCTCTCTGGAGGCAGACACACACTACAAATACCCAACCCTCGACCCCTTCGCACCCCTTCTCTTCGTGTCTTGGGGTTACATTGAAAGGGAACCGAAAGGAAGGGGAGCGCTCGATAGATCGGTAGAGCGAGCCACAGCAACGAGCAGAAGAGGAGCAAATTTGACATTATTAGGTTTCCAGATTACAGGAATCGAACAAAGCTCGAGTCTTCTCTTCCTTTTTCTTTCGTTTTCCCTTTTCAAGCATCTCCGGGAATCCTTTTTCTTCTTTGCCCCGGAAAAAAAATCGATTTTGTTCACCCCCCTCGCCGAACCCGTGCGCCTCCTATTTCTTGGCGTCCGCCGCCCCCAGTCTCCGGCTACCGGATCGAGACGGCCGAGGGTTTCGGTGCTGGGATCGAGATATTGGTTTGTGGAGCGTTCTGGAGTGTTCTGGGGACCGCATCTCCCCCTCTCCGGATCTTTCGGGCAACTCGGCCGGTGGCTCTGCTTGTTGGGACTCGCTCCCTACTGAGAAAAAGAGGCGTCTTTTCATCACCGATCCTGGCTTTTGAGTCCTAGGATTGATCACGGTCGAGGACTCGGAAGGGGGATGCACCTGGGAATTCTTCCGGAAGTTGCCTCCAAGGTCGTGTGTAGCCGCTTGAGGTGATTGGTTCTTCTTGAGATAGGCAGTGCTGGAGATAGAGTTCTTGGTTCTTTCTGTTGATCACGATTCGCTGGTCACTTAGCATTCTCGAGGTGCCATAAAAATGTGATTTTGCACATAATAAGAGGAGAAAAGGACTTAGGTTACAAGTTTATTTGGATACTCTAGGTTGGCTATTTGCTCGGTTAGAACATCTTTTTCCAGAGTTCCATTGCCGTGCGCTGAGTAGAGTTATATGGTTGTTTCAGCGTGTGGACATGGTTTATGGGCAGGAGCATGGCTGGTGGCCCGATCACTGCAACAGCTGAACTGCAAATTAGGTCTTTCTTGCCAACAAAGGGTCACTGAGCAATGTCTCGCTGCTTCCCTTTTCCACCACCGGGATATGAAAAGAAGGTGAAGAATGAGGCAAGGAGCGGCCATGTAGATTCACCGGCAAAGGTGCTTATTGGATAAGTTCATCCAAGCATGCTTGCTTTTACTAGCTTTTGTTTCCCTTCTTTCATTCCTTGCCAGGTACTAAGACATTTGCCCTGGTAATTGATGGTGGATGTTAAGGCAATTGGTGAATACATGTGGGCGTACTGTTTTCTATATAAGCTGATCATAGTCTTTATGGCCATAGATAGTGCACAAATTGCATTACAGTAGGATGAGGGAGTGGTTATATTTCACTGCATAGTGTAAGATAGTATTTTATTTATTTGAGACAAAATCATATATAGGGCTATTATTTTTGTGTGGAAATAGGAAACTAATAAATTGTTTTAATATCTTCCGATCATCAAATAAAATATAGGGTCTTGTTCTCAGGGATTAAACAAAGAACACTACTGCATTTTTTAGTCAGTTAAATTGAGGTTCCTTATATTCTTTTTGATCTTCTAATTTTTCATCGCATCTAAAACTCACCATTCTTGTTCAATGTAAAATATTAGGTGAAAATGATTTTTATTGACAGACTAGAAGATTCTACACGTCTAATTCTTGGACAGGACCCACCTTCCTTGGGAATTCATTAGTTTATGCTAAATTATTGTTGATAAATTGTTTGTCTAATTTTTTCATGACTTGGTGTTACACTTTGAGAAATTTTTTGACTTAAAAGATTATTTATTTTTCAGATATTTCCTTTTCATGCTGAAGTTTTAGAAGGAGAATTATGCTTTTCGTATAAGATGCTTCTAAAATTTTTGGACTTTTTTTTTGGGGGGTTCTTGCCAAAGTTCACTTTTGTGGCAGCACATGCAACAGTTATTGAAGTTGTGCATTTAATACTTTCTCATTTCTCTAGTTATTCTAACACTTCCCAGTTGTCTGATTCAAATCTCTTTCAGCAATTTTATTTAGATGTTGAAAAAACTAATTTCCTCTCCATATTTTTCTCAATTTTCACATTGCTTTGGTTGGTCTAAGATAATCTCCTTGTATCAGTTCCTTATATTTAGTGGAAATACTTGTATCATAAAGAGAAATCCAGTGTCTTTATTTTCTTGGTAATAGCATAATTTAGAAAGCAAAGCTGACCTGTTTTCTCATGTTTGGTCTAAGACTCTAAGTTTAAAGAGTTTTTTCAGCTACATGATGGAGTTCGATTGTAAAATGAAGGGACTTTAACTTCAGACGTGCTGATTCATTTATAAAATTTGTTGTGTTAACCTGAGCAACTGAAAGTGTATGATACAACAAGCCGACCATAATGATGGAGAATACTGGTTATAATGAACTGTAGAGCTGTCATTGCATCTTTATTTCAATTTTGTGGTTTACTGGAATGAAATTTATGTGATCTTGAATACCTTTTATGACTGTGAGATGACTTTATTTCTCGAGATATTCTTTTATCGTACTTGGGGAATATATTCATCAACTCAAGTGATGAGAGTTCCATAGTCTTCTTGGAGGTGATCTGATTTCTTATCCAGGTTAGTGAGAAGAGAGACCTCTAGCTTGTTATTTGTTGTATAGGTTAAGGGTCTGTGTTACATGTCCTTTCATGCTTGAGTCAATCGAGGGAGCTTTGTTCTTTGATACCTTGCTGTATGGATATTTTGTTAGCATTGCTTGCAACAACCTGAAGCTGAGTTCTTGAGTTTTAGGTATCTAGAAATAGGTTTAAGTTCAACTAGATGTGTAATATCTTAGGATTTGCAAAGATACATTGGCTTTCTTTTTATTTTGTTATTAGATTTGTAGTACTGTCCGAAGTTTTATCTTCAATCATGTTTGCAGCATTTGTCCTTGTAATGTCTGTTTAGTATTTGTAGTGCGCTTGAGAATATAGAAAAGCGATTTCAATTTTTTGTTTTGGCAAACCTTTTGTTACCTTGGATTATCATTTTCAGGAGAATCACAAAGAGAAGCATAAAAAGGAGAAGAGGCACAAAGATAAAAAAGAAGGTGAAAAAAGGAAGGACAAAGACCAAAGTAAAGATAGGCACAGAGAGAAGAAGGATAGAAAAGAAAAGCACAAGGACAAGAAAAAGGAGAAGAATAAGGACAATGGTGGAAACAGGATATCTGAAGATGGGAATGAGAAACAGACTCAGTTTGACAACAAAGACAGGCTTGAGGTCAGCTGGAAAACTGAAGAAGTTAAACCTTGTAAATTTGCTGACGAGTTGGACTATTGGATCAAAAATGAAGAAAAGGTCGCAACAACGAGAATGCTTGGTGATTTTGGTAGTTCGATCCAAAGAAGCTCTGATGTCTCAGGTGCTGAATCTGCAATGGTTATGGAAAGAGTTGCAAGCAATAAAAACATTGCTGGTTCCATGGATTCTTCTTCCAGGAGAATTAATGGGATGGAAAGGCAAACAGACAACTTCACCAGTTCAATTCGAAGTCATTCTGAGATCTTTGGATTTGCAAATGCAGTGCAAAAGGAAAAAAATTTAAAGAACAAGTTGATCTCAAATGTCAGTCATCTTGGGCAAAGAGGAAATGATGGTAGGTTACAAGCAGTAGATAACTCTAGGGTTCCCATCCAACAAAGATCTGATGGTCCACACACTTCAACTGCAGTGGAAAAGGAGAACTGTAAACATAACAAAGTTGTCGCAATTCCCAGCAGCAAAGTGCAAAGATTATTTAATGGAATGAACCGATCAAAAGAAAACCTCTCCCTTCTGGCACATGGAAAGATAGATGGCATTTGCCTTGTGAAGACAATAGAGAACAGGGGAGAGATAAAGAATGTTGTTACAAGCCACATTTTCATAGAGCAGAGAGAAGAGGATGGGATTGGCAGATCAATGAAGGATGCAGACAAAAGGATCAAGGGGAATGAGAAGAACAAGGACAGGGAAGCTTATGGTGGAAAAGAAAAGAGACACAAGGACAAAGATCGGGATAAGAAGAAGAAGAAAAAGAAGAAAAAGGACAAGAACAAACTTGATGACAAAGAAAAAGAGCAGGCAAGAAATGGAGAGAAAGGTGGGCAAACACATAAAGAACGTGATGAAATAAAGAACAACATAGGTAAAAAGGATCAGATAGATAGTCCGAATCTAGAGCCAGTGGCTTCTCAGAGGGACAACAAAAAGAGTGACAATACTCGTGAAAATAGGAAGAGAAAGGAACTTGAGATGAATGGTTTTTCACATGGTGAGTAATCATTCTTGGCTACTGTAGTTAGTGGCCTTCTTTTGATTCTGCAAGAACAATTCAGTTCTGCTGTATTATAGATGTCATTTGCTTTGTTTATGGTTGTGTTACCACATTTGCTTTGTCATTACAGAGAATGATTCACAGCCGAACAAGTTCCAAAGAACAACTCCTTCCCCCCACCTTGTAGAAAATGGGAGAACAGTGGACTTATCCGATGTTGCTTGTTCCTTCATAAAGCCCGAGGCCATAAACAACATCGAGGTAAGAAAGCTCCCTTTAGATATCAAGGAACACACTGTCAATGGCACAAGAGTAGCTCATTCATCTCCAGATGGCTCAAGGCATCCTGCTGTTGTAGTCAATGCAAAGGTCCAAGTTTCTGTGAAGGCTCCTCACCCAGATTCCAAGTATCTTAGTGAAATATACTCTGTTCCCAAAATATATGATGTACCCGAGTATGATGATCAAGAGTGGCTATTGGGCAGCTGCCACTTCCAGTCAACCCAAAAGTCAAAGCTCTCGGCCGATGAGACTCCCCAAGTGTGGGCCGAGGCAGTGAGACTCGGGTCAGAGGATGTTCTTGCATTGCCCTATGTCATTCCATTCTGATACTGTCTGATTCATACCGAAGACATGGTAGCAGGATCCAGATACATCACTCATTCCTTCTTGCTGCCCTTCATTGCATCTGCCTTCCGCAGATAAGAATTCCAACTTGTTGGAGCAGTATCACAGACACCATTGATCCATGAGATAGCTCCCAGCTTGCAGGATCTGAGCAAATCAACACATGGTTAAGTTCCTATCTAAAATGAGCCTCTCTATGCTGCAATGTTTCAAGTCCACAAGATCGGAAGGGAGATCTTCCTACATGTTACATCTATGGATTGGATTACAATGACTGCCATCACAACAGGTGTTGCTGCTGCCCCACCACACAGTTTTGATTCATGTAAATCTATTCATAACATGAAATGTACAATACAAGGACAAGAGAAGAACATTAAAGAGGCTGCTGTGGGCTGACTTTCTTTTGACTCGGGGGAAAGGTTTGATTGTTTAGCTACGACAGAAGCACCACTAATTTGGGTTGCATTTGTATGGTTGCACAAGATGAAAGATAGGACATATCATTTACTCTGCATGGATGCTTGCTTAAACAGCAGGTATGTTCATGGTTGACCTTTGCTTAGTGAAACCATTGCAGTCATTTGTTATATGAACATTTTGACAAAGTCTGTGTCATGGATATTTATTGTCCTCAAGATTTGATGATTCAGTAAATGATGTAACCATCTTGTCTCCTCTGTCTGTGTGTGGATTACCAGATGGCTGAGTGCGGCGTGGAGAGACTGTGGGCGACGATGGATATGTGATGGCAGCAGCGGACGTGGGAGGGATGGGCGCCTCTACAGCTGTTCCTCTTCCAAGGGTGGTGTTCTGATCATCATCTTCTTACTCTGTTTTCTGTAGTACCCACAGATGATGAGCATTCCTACGATGATTTCTTATCCAAATCAAATATATATTGTTGGGAAAATATCATGTCTAGATTGCTGTCATTGAAGATAGATTACGTGTGCGTGGGTCGAACACGTAGCCGATTCGTGAGGCATGCAGAAACCGAGCTCTGCAAGCCCACAGATGCTGCATGCGGTCATGGTGGTGGAGGTGTGGGTGTCGATAAGGTAGCAGCAGCGGCAAGCACTTGTGCCAGAAAGCGCAACCAAACAAAGGGAGGGCCACGTGAAGCGCGCAGGGCCATCTTGAGACGCGGCACGCCGCTCGACCTTCCCCTGTTTTACGTGTCCCGCTTCAATCTCTCCCATCCCTCCCCCTCTCTCTTCCCCCCTAAGCCCCTATATATGTCTCTCTCTTCCCACCACCACCTTCCTCCCCATTGCCTTCCTTCCCTTGCCTTGTCTTCTACCCATGGCTTCTCTCGATCGCTGTCTTCTCCTCCTCGTCCTCCTCTTCTTCGGCCTCATCGTCTCCACCTCCTCGGCCTACAGCGGGCGCATGGTCGGGGCCCGGACGGAGGTGCAGGACGTGGAGACCAACAAGGAGGTGCAGGACCTCGGCCTCTTCTCCGTCGACGAGTACAACCGCCGCCTCGCCCTCCGCGGCGCCGGCCTCCTCACCTTCTCCCGCGTGGCGGCCGCGCAGCGGCAGGTGGTGTCCGGGATCAAGTACTACCTCCAGGTGGTGGCCGCCGTGGAAGGTACCGGCGAGGAGGGACAGCAGCACCGAACCTTCGACGCCGTGGTCATCGTCAAGCCCTGGCTCAGCTCCCGGTCGCTCGTCTCCTTCGCCCCCCGTCGCCCGGCCCTCAACAGCCAAGATAACGGCGGCGACGCCCACCTTAATGTCCGATAGAGAACCCACCCACATGAAGAAGTAGCGTCAAATAAGAACTGTGTGTCTTCTTTCGCTATTCCTATAGAAGAAGATGAAGAGTGTGTTTAGAATAACGATGGCTTGTTGAAGCCAATCTTGAAATCGGCAATCCTTTTTGGTTTTCTTTTTCCCTTCTTTTTTCCTCTCTCGTAGCCAATCTTCGTTGGAGACTTGATAATAAAATGTCGAGTTATTTCCTTTGTGTTTTTGGACTCGAATAATGCATTAATAATATCTAATTTTCTGGGAAGAAAACTAAAAAATATTTGTTATTTATTTTTTGTAATAAAAATAAATCTAATAAATTGAAACTGCAAATAGATAATGTTTTTATGCTAAAAATGTTATTTCTGTAATCATCGAATTATGTTTTGCATGAAACCATCCAATTGATCTTATCGGTCGAGAATTACTAATCTTAAAGCTCACAGAAATGAATCTGAAGCCGTCTTCTCCAAGAACTGCAACCATTACAGGGATACAGGCACTGTGCCACCATACCACCTCTACCCAAATCGGATCGTTACCGAGTCCACAGACCACATCAGATCGGACATGAGAGTGCGGTAACGCACATCATCTCGTCGATGCAGACGCTACGCTGCGGGTCGTCCGAAGGTGAGGGGCTGGCGAACGTCGTCGTCGTCGTCGTGCAGCCGACGAAGAGGATCCCATCGCATCGCTTGCTGCTGCAGCACGCGAGCGCATGAACGAGGCTGACCGCTCCATTAGTCTCGCAGCTATCGGCACCAATTGCGGATGCTCCTCCAGGAAGAACTCCCGAAAGCACTTGGGGCACAGGTTGCGTATTCCGGGGGGCTCGACGACGCCGCAGCCGGCGACAGCGCAGGCGTTCTCCTTCGAGGGCATCGTGGGACTTCGGGGAAGAAGAAGAATCGCTTGTCGGGAAGAGAGAGAGAGAGAGAGAGAGCGAGTTGAGATTGTGGTGCTGCTATTTGAAGATCTCTCTGTTTCCTAATTTGAAGGCTTGGACGCCTATTTTTGACTTGGATTAGGATTATATAGATCCTCTGCATCAAAGAGAATCTATCTTAGATATGATAATAGTGCAGTCATATATAATTTGACCTTTGCGCACAGTAATAGATCTAAAGATTGCCGTAAGAATCCCAATCAATATGATAAGACTCTGTTGTTGGGCAATCAAGATTGCATCAATGAGAGCTCAAAGCAACAGTTGAACAAAGCCGACAAAAAAAGCTCAAAATCTAATGGTATCAATCTTTGAGAAGCCCTAAGCAGATCTGTGTAGGCATCAACAAAATCTTAACCAAAAACACTTCATCACCAGAATTTCCACAGGCTGAAAGAAAGATATCAACCTTCAGAGATTGGCAAATAATTCTGTTAAGTACAATTACAATCTGAAGCTGTATATGATTCAGTGCATAATAAAGTCTGATCTGAGTCAGTGTATAACATCATCTCACCATGCATGTTTTGATGGCAAAGAACTTTATGATACTCAAACAACCAACTAAATTATTGGATCTTGATTGTAATATTTGAGATGAATATTTAGTGACTCTCATCACAGATTTTTATCACTTCATGCTGAAAATAATATTTATTTATTTAAACCGTTTCGAAACCGAACTGAACCATTCGTTCGAGGGATGGAACCTGAACCGAACGACCCATTGTTGGTTCTAGTTCGGTTTCGAACGATAGAACCACCGACCGATTCCGGTTGCCGGTTCAAACGAAACTGCGGTCAGGGCTAGCAACCAGAAAGTAGTATTCATAAAGACCACAGAATGTAAACACAAAAATAAAACATGAAATAATTAGAAACAGAAATGTAAACACATTGCTTGCATGGTTATTATTCGACATGCTCATACCAAAACCTGAAGAAACAAATGTATCATCAAGTTTTGACCGTATATTTGGGCTACAGAGTTATAGATATGGAGCACAATGGATCATATTAATTGGCATGCAGTCTCAGGACAATGCGACGAGAAAGAGATCAGATATGATGATGAAATGAACATGAAACTCATCAAATAGTTGTTTGCGTCAAGAATTCGACAACCAAAATGATACTAAGTTCGATTTTGGCTGTCTATGAAAGGTGCAACCTAAATGTCTTGGAACGATATAGTAAATATGTAAAAGGGTTCTCACTTGACAATTCAACTATGTAATGATTCATCTGTCCAAGATAGCATAAAGATCGGAGAATATATCGATTGACTGTGTCCCGAAAAATAAACACAGCTTGCACAAAAGAAATTGAAAGCACCAATTTAGAAAGCTGAAGCAGGAAATCGAGAAAGAAAAGAGATTTTTTTTTGTTACATAGTCAAAACAACAAAATTAGAGTTCAGACAAGTTTCTATAATCATAAATACGACAAAAATTACATTGTAGGTCAAAGAAACTGTTGCTTTAAATTAGTTGTACATTTCACATCTTGAGAAACATGATATTGATGAGTGTGCTTCGATCCAAGTGACAAAAGAGTTCATAAATCGTCACAAAAAGTATAAATATATAAAATCATGATATACAAAAAATGTGGTGTCCGAGTGAACTATATGTGTTATCTCACTCCCATTTTTGAGACTCTAAAGAGACTATTCCGTTATATAAAACCATGATGAATATCTGAAAAATCAACCGTGATGAGTTCCAAATACGATACTTCAATTCCATGGAGGTCCTATGCTGTTGTTCTTGATCTAAGCCATTTAACACCCAAGAAAACATTGCCCGTGCAATTTTGGTGATTATAAAGAAATGTGCAGTTGGAGACTCGATTACAAAAACTCAGATGGCAAGAATAAAAAATCTTACGAGGATGTAAATAGATTTTAGAATTTGCAAGGAAGACCCCCAGGCAATGTATAGAGACTTGATATCCATGGTGCTAAATAATATTCAGCTGAACATGGAATACGGACCTGATGTTATATCAAAGAGGTTTTTATTTTGGCACAGACCCAAGATCCAAACTCGAGACTCGTCATACTTGTCAAACACCAAGTTATAGCATGTATTTATGAAAAATAAGTCAAATAAACAAGATCGGCCAACGTACGTTGCAAATACTTGTTTTCATGGTAAACAATAAAATTTTATTTTATTAAAAAAGAAAGAAAGCCTGATAGATCTTCTAAAAATATAGGTTAGCCTTCAGCCGAATTCTATCTCGCCACACACTCAAGGAAGAATGTAAATGCTACATTTCGAGCTTCAATGACAACAATTGATATGCCGAAGGCATAAATCTACCAAGAAGTACAAAAGTGAAGAAGTGAATATACTCTTTGACTGCAGAAATCTAAATAGCATCTCACTGTAAACTCATAGTTACCAAGCAGCTGAAACAACTTCACCAGAGAAAAGCAGCATTGATAAATCAAAAACGATATCAACATAATCGAAAGAATGTAAATGCTACTTTTCAAGCTTCAACAACAACAATCGGTACTCCAAAGGCATAAATCTACCAAGAAGTACAAAAGTGAAGAACTGAATATACTCTTGGACTGCGGAAACCTAAATAGCATCTCACTGTAAACTCATAGTTATCAAGTAGCTGAAACAACTTCACCAGAAAAAAACAGCATTGATAAATCAAAAACGATTCCAACATAATCGAAAGAATGTAAATGCTACATTTCAAGCTTCAACAACAACAATCGATACTCCAAAGGCATAAATCTACCAAGAAGTACAAAAGTGAAGAACTGAATATACTCATCGACTGCGGAAACCTAAATAGCATCTATCTTGCCACACACTTGAGGAAGAATGTAAATGCTACATTTCAAGCTTCAACAACAACAATCGACACTCTGAAGGTATAAATCTACCAAGAAGTACAAAAGTGAAGAACTGAATATACTCTTCGACTGCGGAAACCTAAATAGCATCTCACTGTAAACTCAAAGTTATCAAGTAGTTGAAACAACTTCACCAGAAAAAAAGCAGCACTGATAAATCAACAGCAATTCCAACATAATCGAAAGTGCCTTAAAATACTCCAAACAAGTAAATTATGATCGAGTTTGTATTTTTCATCAAGCTGAATTCAATACAACTACCTTCTACAGTGTTAATTAGCTTCAGAATTATGATCCACAAAACAAGCATTAAATCAACATGACATCTGCCTAATGTCTTGGCATGCTACCGAAAGAACCACAATTAAGCATCAAACAACTAAGTGTTAGTGCATTAGCTCAGAGAAGAGGGATTCAAACCTTCCTGCTCTTGTTCAGTTCCTCCTCTCTCTTCCGCAGCTGCTCACGAAACCTTCTTCTTGGGAGGCCTCCCACGCCGCTTCTCGGTAGGCGTCACCGTCTCCGTCCCCCTTGCCACATTATTCTGCGATGGCACGCCCTGCTGCTGATCGAGCGGCTGCGGCTTCTTGGGGCGGCCGCGTCTCTTTTGGGGCGTCCCACCCGGTTTCGGTGTGGAAGCCGCGCTTCCCGGTGGGCGACCGGGCTTCCGCTTTAGGGCAGACGAAGCATCTTTTGTGGCCGCTTTGGGTGGCCGACCACGCTTCCGCGTTCCACCCGATTGGGCTGCGGCCACCGATGCTTTCGGCGGCCGACCCCGCTTCCGCGTTTCGCCGGATTGAGCTGACGCCAAAGATGCTTTTGATGGCCGACCTGGCTTCCGCTTCTGAACAGCTGGGGAAGCCGCCGCTCCGCCTTTGGGAGGGCGGCCGGGCCTCCGTTTCGGGGTCGACACCGTGGCACCAGAACCCGACGCAGGAGCTGCCGCATTGACTTTAGGGGGCCGACCGCGCTTCCGCTTACCATCCACCGCCGCCGCTTCGGCGGTTTTGGGAGGGCGACCCCGTTTCCGCTTCTCGCCAGCTGCAGGGGACTCGGGGCCGGAGGCAGAGATCTTGTAGGACTTCTTGACCATGCGGAGGCCGCCCTGGCTCCTGAGGCGGCGGAGGTGGAGCTTGAGAAGGGCGGCATGCCTTCCAGGGAGGTCAGAGTAGGTGTCACGGATGAACTTGCCGATGGCTCTGGCGCTCGATCCGCGCTTCTCCTTCAGCGACTTGATGGCTCTCACTATCATCTGCTCAACATGAAGGAAAAGCAAACCAGATCGGCATCATCGCCACACACACACACACACACAGACGAGTAGTAAAAGGAAGGACGGAAGAAAAGCGCATTCACCACCTCTTTGTATGGAGGGTGTTGCCGTTGGCGGCCGGCGGTGGCCGGCGGAGGAGTGGCGGAGGCGACTACCATTTGAACCGGAGATTTAACGGACAGGAGTGAAGCAGAAGAGGCGAGGCAGGCGAGAGATAGAGAGAGAGAGAGCGAGAGGTGGAAAGGTGGTGAAGTGCTTTACTATTTCAATGTCTTTTTTTGTCTCTTCCTCTGTATCTTTACAGCTAAAGAAACGAGTAAATTTATGGCGAGAGAATTTAGAGATAGATAGAGAGAGAATCCATCACATGGATCCATGAGCTGGAAACAAGATTTCTCCAAGGGTTTTCTTGGATTGCACAAGAGAGAGACTGGCTTCCATTGACCCAAACAAGATCTAACACTCCAATCCAAGGTCTAATATATCTCTCATAATTAAGAGAAAAAACCTAATTCAAATTCAAATATATATATATATATATATATGACTATTGTTGTGACTGTAAATTGTTTGATGGAGAAAAAACAAAGATTATCACATAATTCAACTCTACAAAACTCACAGAGTTTAGTGGAGTTGGGATTGCATTAAGGAGTGTTTGTTGTTGTCTATCTCCCTTCCCCTTTCTTCTCTAAAGCATTTATTGTTGGAAAGGAAACAATGGTATTTGTCATTTTGCAGCTTTAATGGGTTAACTCTTCCATTATCCCCATCCTTATCCTTATTGATGTTATCTTGACCACCCAAAAAAATTATTTTTTTCTAAAAATATTATTTATATTATTTTTTTATAAAAATAAAACACAACACTTTTTGAATTTTAGTGAAAGGACTGAATCTCATGATTTCTTTTGTTTCTATAAATTATTATCATTAAAGTTGTATGGTTATTTTGCATAATATTACGATTCAACATATTAAAAAAATAAATTATGAGCTAACCTAAGAACACATATAGGTCGATTGGTACGATTAATTATAGATTATCTCTTATAATTAGATATCTTTTATATTTTGATTCGTATTCTATACTTACGAAATTAAAATATTAAGAATCTATAGAAGATTAAAAAGATAATTTTATAAGAATTTGTTAGAACAATCAGATCAAATATTTTTATTTTTATAAATATAAAAAAATAATATAATTTTTGAAAGTAAATATTTGATAATTAATTATAGATGATAATATATAATTAACCGTTTGACAATAAGTTGATACGGTTGAATAAAAAACGTTGACACTGCTCAATCTCTATTACTCGACATGATATGGGAAACCCTAATTATGAGCATGTTTGAATGGAAACCGACGAATGGTCCAATGGAAAAGATGGAATGATAGCAGAAGCAATCTGAGTTAATGTGTCTGCTCACCCATCCGCTCCTCCATTGCCGTTTGGAAGGTTTTGTCTATCATTAACGTTGGAACACTCGACATGTGAGTGTGAAGCAGTTCCCAAGTGCTCTGACAGCAGACAAATGGCAGCGAGAGAAACAGAGAGATTGATTGATTGGGACCATTGGCAGCAAGTGGAGCAGAGAAAGACTTCCCACAAGTCATGCGGGGGGGGTGAGTGAATGACATCGTCGGATTTAGTCCGTCCCAGAATCGATATTTTCGATTTAAAATAAATAATTTTAATTTTATAGATTAGAAATCGAATTGATTTTAAATTAATTTTAATTTCAAAATTAAAATAAAAATTTTGATTTTTAATCTGATTTAATTCCGTCGGATAAAATCACCTCGCGAGCATACGAATCGCACCAATGATCGACTGACCAAATAGTCCCTTATCAATATGTCTCAAAGATAAATAGACGTAATATTTTTATTGATCCTTTCTTAAAGACTAAAGTGTTTTGAGATTAGCAATCATCCAAATTAGGAATCACAAACAAGAAAAAGAAAACCATGTACTATATATATACTAAGCTCATTGGTTTGTAGAGAATGAATACACAGCCCAAAAGCTCAAGAACACTCAGCATCATCCTAAATCATTGATAGCAAACTAGCAGCATTCCACTACACTCTACTAAAAATCTGCTCCGAGACAAATAGATCACAAGAGTGAATTAGTTGACTCAGACTGACAATGGCTTTTGCGCACCATTAGAAGTGGATTCACCATAGGGCCTTGTGGAGCCATCAGACTTCCTCTTGAGAACTACAATCCAGGTAGCAACCTCCAAGAACAAGGCGATGCCACCTAGAATGCAAATGGCAATGATGTATCCCGCTCTCCATTTATGATCGACGCCCAAGATGTCCAGGCCTTGGAAGACGTTGATGATGCCTAAGATAATGACTGTGTATCCCACCAAGTGATGGTAGATGTTCCAGTAGAATCTGTACTTGTGATCCTTGTTTGGCCTCAGAAATAGCGCAAACACCTGCGGAGAGTTAAACAATGAGGCCAATGCTGCACATTCATTCATCCGATGTTGCTGCATCAGATGTTAATCCAGACTAAATTTCAATCTGTGTTACCTGTAAGGTGGCAAGAGAGAAAAGGGCCATGCCGATGCTCCGGTGAGTCGTGTACTCGATTCCCTTAGATTTGCTACCAAGACTGAGGCCAGTAGCCCAGCCACCAACTCCAACACCGTAGCCAATAATCTGGCATGTTACATGAAGATAAAACCATGTAGGATCGGCAGACTCGAATGTTTTCAGGTATCTAGAGAAGATTGCACCAATTGGAAGCAGAATCCCCCAACTCACTGCATTCAGAACTCCATGTACCTGTGCAGAAGACAAACATTGAACATCCAGATGCAAGCACCAGTCTCTAGGCAAAGCTCAATTCCATCATCTAACACAGCTTTCGTGCTGTAGTTGCTCTATAGAACAAATCCTTTTCCAATTTAAGGTGGTATTCTAGTGTAATACAACTTTGCCAAGTGACAAGAATGCATATTTCCATCTCAATCAGTAATGTTTATATTAGGAAAATTGACAATCACTATCCCCAAATCTCATCAACATGGAATTCATAGAGGTGACAATGATCTGTATGTGACGATGACGGCAACTTCTCCAAAGAAAAAAGAGCATGGATCATCATAGTGCTCACTACTGTAGCTTATCATGTGTTCTTGAGACCTATCACTTATAGGACAATGCATATTATCATCGGCTATCAAAAGCAAGATTTAAAGTATTTATACTCTTTGAGTATAAGTGGTAAAGTTCAAAGTATTTAACTATTGATTTTTTCCCCCTTAAATCCTTCTCCACAAAAAAAAAGGAATTAAAAATGAAATTTTTCTATGAAGTATTCTAAGTAAAAATTGATTGCAAATTAACCAATAATATCGACCAAAATTAATAAGGGGGAGGGGAGTCCCAAGCAAAGAGTTCTACTCACATTCTTGTTCCTGGAACTGGAAGCTTCGGAGCCGGAGACCGCCCCTTTGATGAGATCCAGCTTTCCCTTGGACTGCATATTCTCCTGCGCTATGGCGTGCTGCTGGGGGACCCCATCCGCCACCGACGATCCCACCTGCCACACCTGCTTCACCGCCGTGGTCCCCGCTGGCAGTTTCACCTTCCCGAAGACCCGCATCACCCCGCCGGAGTACTCTGCCGCCAGATCCGAGGTCTGGAAGTCGATCGCCCCCTCCGCGATGGACCCGTAGCCGGTAATGTTGTACGTCCGTACCCCCATCGACCCGTTGGGCTGGTGGAACGCGATCAGGGCCTGGGACCCGATCATGCCGTCGGCGGTAGGGTTGATCGCCCACGCCACCCAGCCCTCCGGCTTGGGCGGCGGCGCCACGAACGCGAGCGAGAGGGTGGCCGCCGTGGCGTCGAAGGACCAGTGGAGCGAGGAGGAGAGGTGGGGGAGGTCGCTACAGGCGGCGTAGACGCGGTTCGAGGAGAAGGTCACGGATGAGCACGCGCCGGCGGCAGCGGCGGACGATGCTACTGCGAAGATGACCAGGAACGCGAGCTGAAACCGTGGAGCGTCCATGGCTCCGGGAAAGACCCTACGCTTCGTCTTCTTCTTCAGATGCTTCTCTCGTTCTCTCTGAGAAGGGCGAGTGGCGAGTGAGGCAAAGCTTCGAGCTCGCGCTTTATAAAGGGGAAGTGAGAGGTTGGGAAGGGGCAATCGGGGAATCGTTATTCTCACCCAAAATTTTAGCAATCTGTACTCCACTGAAGGGGACACCGAGGGAGCGAATTGAGGCTTCTCCGCCACCCTATGGGCGTACACTTTATAATTAGTGTTACCAAAATAAAAAAAAGTTAAAGGAAGCGAAGACGGAAGTGACGGCACACCTACCGCCAGCACATTCGTACCCACGACGGGACCCACCGAGTGCGTGTGTGCCCGACGCTTCCTGACGATACGATGAAAGCAGAGGGTACAGAGAGGAGAGACTTGGCGTGTGAACGCCGGGGGGACGTGGGAAGAGTTGGGCGCCGCGCGTCACGTCGTTCACATGTGATGTGCCGGTGCGTCGGGTCGGTACGTTGACCGCTGAGGATTAAATAACAGAGATGCGAATGGAAGCAACAGCGGTGGGGGCGGTAAAGTTACCATATTCGCCTTGGTGATGAGGCCAGCGTGGCGTCCGCATGACGCTTCGAGAAGTGCTGGCCGTGCCAACGTACCGGCCGTCATAAACATTGTAACGGACGCTACGAAGACCGACATGTGGAACAAATTAGTAGCATGATTACAACATCGTAACTTTGACATGTAAAACTCAAAAGTGTTCGTGTGGCATATGTCACCTCCAATCAATGTCATGCATTTGTATGGATAAAATGCAGTGGATATCATTAGCAGGTGGATCTTCCAAATAGGTTGCATTGCGTTCTTGCCAAGTCATGGAGATAAATTGTTGTATTATCTACGTCAAAAGGCATGTTTTGTGGAGTAACTTCGAAGTATCGTCTTTGCATACAGAAAAAAGAAGAACAATTTTAGCTTCGGAACAAAGGGATAAATGGGAATACTCAGTTGAATCCAAATTTTAATCCATAAACAAAAACCTCTTGTTTAGAGGTGTTCATTATTTACCGAACATGATAGATCGAAGACGAAGTCACCAATCAAAGGCAAAACAGAATAGAAAGATGATGATGCGCTCAACGATTTGCCTTGGCGACACGCTCTATCTCGTCCTTCTTCTTAATAGCATAGCTGTTGAAAGCATGAGCAATAGGACGGCGATAAGATAAATGCGCCAACAAAAGAATACTCGGGTTACAAGAGCTAAGGATAGAAGGTCTCACCTGTTGGAAGAACCCTTTGCGGCATTAATTAATTCATCAGCGAGGCACTCAGCAATTGTTTTGATGTTTCGGAAAGCGCTTTCACGAGCACCAGTTGTGAGAAGGTAAATCGCCTGGTTAACTCGCCTCAATGGTGAGATATCAACCGCCTGACGTCGGACCACACCAGCAGAACCGATTCGAGTCGCATCTTCTCTTGGACCACTGATATGAAAACAATAGCATAAGAAATACATCCATTTTTAAGAACGAACTGTATTTATCACATTCAAACTTGGGAGAAAAGCAGTTGAGAGACTATGGCACACAAATTCTGAAAAATCATGATTGGAAGCCACTATTTAGTACATAATTCAATACTTTAACAGGAACTTGCATCACTAGAAAAAGATGCACTTCAAACTAGATACAAAAAGTGCAATTACCTATTAATAACTGCATCCACAATAACTTGAATTGGGTTTGCATCAATAAGCAAATGAATAATTTCCATTGTATGCTTAACAATGCAAACAGCCATAAGCTTCTTCCCATTGTTACGACCATGCATCATCAGTGAATTGGTTAGTCTTTCGATAATTGGGCACTAAGCCTTACGGAACCTCTTAACAGAGTACCTTCCTGCAGTATGTGGAAGATAAGTGGCATGCTTTGGAGGAGTCACGGCAATGTAATCTGCAAGTGAGATATCACTGACCTGCATTTTGAGGAGAATAGGATTGATCCCAGTATCCACAGCATATGTACTAGGATAAGAACAAATTGCCTGTTTTTGTCTTAACGCAACTAGTCAATAACGAAATAGAAATTTTAGCAGACAATATACCATAAACAAAATCATATTAATAGAGCACCCACTACGATATTTGACATATTGAAGTCTAAAGTTTCCCTGACCAAAGCATCATGCATAAACAAGGCAGGAGGACTATATCGATCATTCAAATTTTTGGAGTAAATGAACATCTCAAGAATACATCAAGATGCACTAGGTTGTTCTGCATTATGTAAGCAGACTGATACCAGTTCTATTCATCAAGGATCCTTGACAAATCCTCAAGCCAATATAAGATGACAAGAGTAATGAACACTTTGAACTCAAAGAAAAAGATATACTAAAGAGTCTACCAGCTCAATATCAATTAATAATTATAAAGGCATACCCAGTGCACGATATCCCGTCAATGCAAGATCCGGAGAGGATCAATGTACATAGTTATTGTACCAAGGCTCACCCTCTTGCCGATTAATAATTATGACATTCAATGATCATATTTCCATAATAATCAAAAATATTATGGCAGTTTTATAGGAGCATAGACTTGATATTTCAACTGATGCTCTATTGAAATTGTCAAAATGTTTTCATCAAATCCAATAATCTTGTCATTTTTATCATCTCTGAATAGACAAACACAATGTTCGAATTGCAAGAACTACCTATCGTTTGTATTACATAATATCAACAATGTTGCAAGTGCTCTAAAGGTTAATTCTTCTAATATCCATGCTGATAAAAATCACCTTCTACCAAGATTCATAAACTACAAGACCAAACAAAAAATAAAAAGCCTGAAACTTTGTTTTCAGCTGATGCACACATGAAGTTCTTCAAGCTCAAATCATCTCATTCAAAGTTGTTGCCAACACAATTAAGAAGACCAAATCCATATTAAATCTTAAACAAGATGCTAAAATTTTGACAACAACAAAACCTAATAATCATTCTTCATTATACATAGTTTATAGATTCAATACATTCTGTAAAAGATCATTAATCATATAGTAGATATTTCCAACAAAAACTTGACAAACAATAGCATAAAAAATTCATGTATTAGATATGGGGGTAACCAGCAGAAAGCACTAGATTATTCAGTTTTAGACTCTACTCTGAATGCCACAGCACTACTTCTCCTAATAAAAGGAAATGCAAGATCCAACCAAGATGTACATGATGGTCCAATGTTACTAAGAAGAAAGTACGACCCCTGGAAAGCCTAGTTTATTTTTATCTAAATTCTTAAATCTTCGTCAGACATACAATGCTTTCACGTTATCCAATCGATTCTCCATCGTCCTGTATTTGATTCGTTCAAACCATTATATAGTCGACCTATTTCAAACAATTTACCCTAGAAACAAATAAAGAACAATAAGAACCTCCTAACTGAGCCTCTCGAAGAGAAAATTCTATATACAAATATAGAGACATACAATAACCATAATCCATTCATAAATTAGAAGAAAAAGAAACAATAACCACCAAAATGCGATATTTTTCATGAAACAAAGCAGATGTGACACAAAGGTGAAAGAAGACAAACCACATACAATACCGTTCCATCTCGCATGAAGCGTATCGATCACACGGTCGAAGGATCAAAGAACAACTACATTCGACAGAAGGGAACAGTTTACGAGCCAAAAGGACAAAGAACAGAACGGACCTCAACATCGTCGAAGGACCAGCGATTGAAGAGCTTAACATCCTGCTGGATCGCCATTGGAGCAGTGCGCGCAGGAATCCGAGCTCAAGATTCGAGCAATAACAGGGGAGGATCGACGGGGAGCGAAACCACGGCGGCCAAACCCTCGTGGCGACTGAAGCCAAAGAAGGAAGGGTGCCGTGGAGTTTTAGTTGCATCCAGACGAAGATCCACACGAAGCGGACGGTACAGATGAATCCACGTTACAAACAAGACAAGCAAATCAAAATAAATACATAAAAGATTATATATATATATATATATATATATATATATATATATTCCCTACAAATATAACATTTTATTATTTTTCTTAAATTTAAAATTAAAAAAAGTATATAAGTATATTCTTGCAATGGATATATACTTAATTTTCATTTAAACGTTAGCTTAAAAAATACTAATTAAATACATTATTCTTATCTGATATTTGTTGATACGAAAATATTTTCTCTAATCCATAGATCAACTTGTGATAGTCATGTCATCAGAAAATAACAAAAGCCACAATTGACTGTGCCACTATGTTAACAAAATTTCAATAGTTACATAAAATATTTTTTTAATCATAAAAAATTAAGAAAAAAAATACGAGCTTAGATAATGAGATTAGATTTTTTTTCTTCATATTATATAACCATTGGTTAGTCTAACTTGAACATCAAAGAGATACGAGGTCGAAAATAGACTATCATATAAAAAAAAGATTTTAATATTTGAAAGAATATGTATACCTTATTATATATTTTTTTATGATTTTTCAAGGATACATGTGTAAAAATCCCTCAAGTTAATGGATGCTGGGCTTTGGCCCAAATCACTATTCATTTCTTCAATTGGTTGAACGAACTATCAACAACTCAAATTATTTGCAAGAATATTTCTTTAATTATTCTTTTTTTGGAACGGATTTATTATATATATAGATTTATTCATATTTATATTTATATATATGGGAGAATTATTAAGGAAAACCTCATATATATAATATAATATAATTTTTCTTGAAAATATAATATTTTTTTTCTCGTAACCTCTTATTTCATCGGTCGGAAATCTAACACACTTGTGTCACACTCAGTGACCAAAGAAGAAAGAGAAAAAGAAGCATTATGATAGAATATTAAGAAAATAAGTAGTAAAAGAAGACGATGAAGATGACGATGTTTACATTTGTTATATACCGTCCGACATTATTTGTCGTAGTATCTTAAGAAAAGAAAGATGATAAGGATATTTATGATATCTTAAGAGTATTAAAAGTCTTATCATACAATGAATACAGTACAATAATATGCTACATTTTTTGATACATTATACATTATGATCATTAACTATGCATAAAAGCTGTGATACTCTTCATTCTCTTCGGTCATATGTGACTTGTTATATTTTGATGAACATGGTAAAAGAACAGCTCGACAGATCATGACGAAGAACATGGAGGACTGTGAAGCTAATGATACTGTTGGAGAAAGAAACCATGAAGGAGCACATCGATCGATCTGTGTTGGGACTACTGTGCTGACAATGGGGCACTATATTTCGCCTGTCCATCACGAGAGTACTAAGCACAGCGTTTTAGCTCCCCTTGAGCACTCGAATCTGTGCTCGAGAACGCATGCGGACATCTGACACCAGGTGAGCCGGTTTTTGGAGGCATCTGTGCTGCCGGAGATCCCCACACCTCCTAATTACTGTGCTCATTGTTATACGTACTGTGACCGAAGTAAGAAAACGGATGTGTGTTTGCTTCACTCATTTACAGTGACCTGAGAGGGAAGAAGAAGAAGAAGAAGTATGGCGCTCGATGATATGCCTGCATGCAGGCCGCAGGAATTAATACCTTTCAATGCTTCTGACATGGGGTTTGTGCTCACTTCAGCTCGATAAAAGTAAGTAGAGAACTGAGGTAAGTCTCGGTAAAAGCTGCAATGGAAGTACTGCTGTTCTTACCTGCATGGCATTTACCCATCTACTGTGGAAAGAGTCCCCGCCTTGGAGCTTAAAGAACAAAGCTTCTGTACGTAACAGCTGTTTGAAAGAATGCTGGCTGCACGGCGACTCTGATGGCAATTGGACGAGAACATGGAGGGCAGGAATCTGGACAAGGTTGATGAAGGTGCTGATGGCGATGGGGCAGCGGGGAAGCCGACGAAGCACCCCCCCTCGGAGATCATGGCCCATGCACGTGCCCTACAACAGGCATCTCATGCTGTAGAAGATACATACACCTCTCTCTCTCTCTTCATGAGTTGTAGCTCTTCTTCCTTCTCGCGCCTCACGGGGAGCGCATGTGAAGGTGGCGGTGGTGGTGGCTGGCGGTGACAAGGACCACCTCCAGCGTGCATGACCAGGAGCGAGCATAGACCGGCACAAATGGCTTTCCCGAGTGCCCTGTTTGGAATGTTTGTCTGCGATCTGTCCGCTCTTCTCATCCCCACATTGCAATCAATCATTCTTGCTGTGCGGGCAGAGGTATCCGTGAATGAACGCACCAGTTGGGGGCTAATCAGAGGATTAGCAGTGAGTGATACACATCACAAAGATTCGATGCAATTCTTTGTAGCTTGTCATGTTGGGAGGAACAGCAAGTGGGGGAGGATTGGACATGGAGGAGCAGCAGCTGCTGTAGGCAAGTCCAGATACAAAAAAAGGACTAGATTTCATGGACTGATGATGATTCTGTGGTCCAATGTGATTTGACGTTTGAGGTGGTCATACACCACAGGACGTGCATGAATGCAGAGCTGCTTGGGTTCAAACATTACTGTTCTAAGGCCAACTTTTCTCTCTGCTTATTGTTTCCCTGAAATTTTTTGAGAGGCAAAAAAAAAAAAAGCTTGAGATTGATTTTGTTTTTGTTTTTCTTTTGGTTATTAGAAACTTAAAATTAAATCTAATTATAGATTATTCTTATAATTAACTATATTTAGCATCACGTTCGTTATATATTTAAAAGTTACATTGAGATCTCTATAGTTACGAAGATAAAACATTAAAATTTCTATATAAGGTTAAAAAGATAATTCATAGAGTTAAAAATAAATAAACGAAAATGGTTTTGTTGAATAATGAATTAAGTATTTTACTTTCGTAATTATAAGAATCTCAATGTAACTTTGAAAGTATAAAGATTGAGATGCTAAAAGTAGCTAATTACATATGATAAATATAATTAACGTTCAAAATCATTATCCAAATGGTACTCGAATTATTTCTAAATATCCAATTTATATTCTTAAAAAATAAATACCGAATGAGGTCCAAAACCTCTAATCTTTGATAAGCGAATCTTATACATCACTATCAAATTAATGTATTAAATTTTAAATTCATAATATTTTAAAAAAATGAGTATGATACATCACCATCATCATCATCGAACAAAAGCCTTACATGTTACATTTTATTAAATAAAAATTGAATCATCATCCAACAAATGTTACATGTTACGATCGTTTAGCACCAAACGAAAGCATCAATATGTTAAGTACAAAAAACATCGAACGAGAATTTAAACCCTTATTCAATAAGTGAATATGGTACATAACTACTAAATTATGTGCAATGTTTTATAGAAAGAGAAACCAAACATTTCTTTGTATGTCAATTTATGGACATACTTATCTTATTTTATAGGTAATATAATGAGGCCCTGAGACTAAAGTTTACATGAAGTTTTGAAGTGCTATTACAGCAGGAAAGTTGCTTGGTATTATTACCACCTGCAGATATAGTGGCTGTCACATCTCCAGAGCTCATCAGCTGTAAAGATGCTGCAGTACCAATGTCCTATCAAGCACCTAATTTAATGTTGTCTCAATCCAACCTATAAAAAGTCCAATTCCAAATATCACCATGCATATCATATCAAGTCAGGCAATATGGTTGCATGCCACCAAACATGGGTTGTATCTCTAATCCATTTCATCATGAATGCTTGTCTTCATGAATTTAGTTAGTCTTAAGTGAATCATAACACATCAGTTGTGTTTGATGGATAACTTTTACCTTGACATTAAGGTGAAAAAAATGTCTCATTTCCTGTGGCCCCCAACCTTGCATGGAATCAATCACATGCATTCTATCCTTGTGGGTTCAGACAGACACAAACACACAGAGGAGGGAGTGGTTCAGTAAAGAGTAAAAAGAAGAAGAAGAAGAAGATGACTCTCCTCCCCAGATGGATTTACTGCTCCATCAGTACACAGAATGTAAGGGTTGAAAACCTGAGCTTCTTCTGAGCCAACTTTTTACCCTGCACATTGCACTATGTACGTGCAACAAAGAGCCATCAGTGTTCCTCACCATGTCATCTCCTTGCTATCATGGTTTTCCCTCAGCTGACAACCTGAATGATGATATATATATAGAGAGAGAGAGAGAGAGCAGAAGAAGAAGAGATCACACAGAGAGGTGGAGAGGATTGTGACAGGTAATATAGGATCACTTCACTAGGATCGAGTACAGGCACGGGAAGAAGACCAGGGACAAGAACACTCTCATTCTCATTGAGTTCCACCATCCATCACCTATGACACACGCATCTGTAGCGGTAGGCGCTGTTCATGGGGTCGCCGGCGTCAACAGGAACTTGCTCGGCGCTGCACTTGAATCGACAGCCTCTGCACTCGTTGTACGTGCAAATGGGAGCCCTGGACCCGATCATCACCCGCCTGTCACCCTAAGCACGAAGGAGATGAAGGCGTTGGAGCTCACGGCAACAGCATGGCGATGGAGAAGACAAGAGAGAGCAACGGCGTTACTACCTCCTCCTCCTTCAGTGGAAGGACATTCGAGCGGGCGACTTGTCCTCCGAGACCTGCAACACAGGTTTTGCATCGACGTTGCTCTGCCTCCTCCTTCAGTGGAAGGACACTCGAGCGGGCGACTTGTCCTCCGAGACCTGCAACACACAAGTTTTGCATCGAAGGTTAAGGGAAGGCGGCAGAAGAGCGGTGACACGAGTGGCGACCTGGTCGGCGAACAGCGCAGACGAGAGTGGTGGAGACGAAGAAGAAGAGGATGAAGGTGCTGCAGGTGGGGTTTCGGGAGGCCATAGAGCTGCTGCTGCTGCTGCGATGGGAAATGAGATGTGGAGTACACGGGACGAGGCGCTGAAAACATATAAGGATGCATGATGGTAGGGTGAGACTGTCGCCTTGCGGAAGACTTCATGCCCCCCTTGCAGCGGCGCCTTCAGCCAAGCGCAGCCGAGAGGTCCCCCACCCACCACCTCTGTGCGTGCTTCGCCATTTACCAAGCTGCCCATCAATAATTCCCTTTGCGTATCGCTGTCGTCTCAAGATCCAAAATTTGTTGCCCTGTCCTCAGCTGTTGTCTCTTCTTCCTCTTCTCTTCGTCAGCATCCGTTCCTGCTGCTCCTCAGAAACTGTCGATGCAAGGATTTCAGACTTGATGTCACTGTGATGCTGATAATTAATGCCATGAGAGGCCAGAGAATTTGGATCTATGAGCTTTTTTATCTTGTGGATTAGCATTTATGATTACTGAATAAGAAGAAGAATCAAAGTTGAGGTAGTATCATCATATCTGCTATGGTATATATGTCATGTTAGATGGGACTAATTTAAAGGCACTTCTCATTCAATCCCCCACCCCAAAAAAAAATAACTTCAATAAATTGATCATCTTATCATTTCTATTTTACTCTTAAAGGATCCAAATATCGTATCGAATAAATAAAAATTATATCTAAAACATTTTGGTTTTATTATTTGTGGTGGTCATAAGCTGGATTCCAATCTCTCTCTAACTCCTTGAACAGTTGAGACACCCAACACATGTAATTAATTAGTGGTAGAGCAAAGCAATCGAGGAAGCTAATCATTGTCTATCTCTCTAACTCTCTTTTGTGCCGTACTCTCCAGCGATGAGGTATCTATCTGCAGCTATGTGCAGAGTCTATCGTGTGCAGGTCTCCACTCAGTGCTAACGAAGCTAAAGCTGCAGCTACTGTAGTATACCGTTCTTGTGAGCTTTGGCAGAAGCTGCCACTATTCAATGCTTTGATTGCATGACTTCATTTTAGCTTTAGGTGTAGTACAAGTACAGAAGCTATCACTGTAGTAGATAACTGCTTGCGAGTGCTGAAAAGGAGGTGATCGATGGTATCCTACTTCTTTTTTCTCTTTGCATTTTTTAGGTTTTTGGAGTAATTCAAATCTTCTTTTTGATTTTTTGGAAAAAAAGATTCATTAAATTTCATTAGCACATTCGTCTTTTGTTAGGAATATGAATATATAGATCATATGTTGTTTAACAAATTAAGCTTTAGATACAGTGAAATCGATAAAATACTAGTCCATACGATCGTATGCGATGGCATCGATCATTATACGGATGCACCATTCGATAATACGTATCTGATATCGTATTGATCTGACTTACTAATGGGACCGATATGAGGATGAGATTTAGGATCTTGGGTTGAAGAATAATTGTAATAATTACTCGACAACAAAAAAAAAAAAAATTATGATTATTTTTTTGTCTTTTCCTTTGTGTTCTTTAGGAAAATGACATTGTGAACCTCAACAAATGCATTTCCTGTTTTCTCTGAGGAAAACGGCAGCAGAATCAAATGATTGAAATGGCATGATGGGAATTTTGTTTCTTTCTAGCTGTGTTCTGAACTATTTGTTGGAGGACAATAACAAGTTGTTTGCTGCAGCAGTGCAGTTCAATCTGTCGATGAATCTTCAATCAGGAGGAATCCAAGCAACATAAGCCGCAATAGATATGGCAGCTATCCACTTGTTTCCTTGTGTGTGCTGATCATTAAGCTGAGCTAATCTCAAACATGACATAGTTCCAAGCTTGATGTAATTTGTCCTCAACTTTAGAATCTTTGTTGACCATGGCAAATCACTATACAGTCCTAAGCAGTATACAGATTGTAAGCACAAGATTCGATTGACCGAAAATGTACATACTAAATTGCAAGTATGGTGTGACAATTATGGATCAATGCCATTGCAGGAAACCATGGTACCATTCACATGTCCACAGAACACCATGTTCTTACAGGTGAACAACTCAAACAATGGTACACTCAGCTAATTAGCATGACAAAGGGCTACGAAACTATGCCGTGTCGACCTAATTCACAAATCTAGGTGAATGTAACTTTAGATGCATAATGCTATGTCTACAAGACCCACATGAAAAAGAAAAATCCTCTAATTTAAGTACATTTGTAAGACCGTGGAATTGCCGGAAAGAACTGATTTGGGCTTTCTCTCCGAGGAACATGTATTTTGAGCTGTGCAGGTGGAGGATGTACCGAAAGAAGCAAAATTTGTTTTCTTGACCATAACGTTATTTTCCGATAGGTAGGCAACGTTCATCTTATCTTTCATGTGCAATCTCATGGACATCTCATAACTCCTCTGGGTAACTGCTAGTCTTTGACATCAGATCTTTGTTGATTGCTTGGTTGACTTCTTCTCGAAGTACCTCTTCTATCACCAGAGTCAGACCTGAATGAGAAAGAGTGACGAACATGGACCCTGTGACTATTGTGCCTGGTTGTACCAGTGCCTGTGATATTCACTGATAGTTCCACTTCTTTGTCCCTGGTATTTTCAGTCCACCAATTCTGTGGGACTCCATCAACAGATTGTTCCTGGGTGAGGACATCTTCATGATGGACAGAAACGTCTATTGTTTGTCCAGGTTTGAGTATGCCGACTGCTGGTTGAACCTAAATAGAGAAAAATAGAGATAGAGAGCAAGATGAAAGATGCCTGATGTCATGCGCAGGCAAAACCAACATAGATGCTGATCTAGCAGAAGTTTAGTAAATGATGGCAAGACAAGAATGTCTAAGTACTATAATAGTCTAACAGAGATGACTTAATATTGGAAAGATCAATGATTCTTTTACGATCACCTTGTGGCACAGTTCCCCAAAGAAAAAGTACTGACTTTGCTAATCAAGTACTTGGAGAATATGAAAGTGCATTTAGAAATTTGAGTGTGCCAGATTGAATTTTTTTGGATAACTGTTATAACGCATTGCGTCTATCATAATTTGAACTTCTAATATATCGGCACCATGATAAGGGATTTCCTTTTTGATTTAGGCTACCAGGGTTCAAGTTTTGGAGACAAATCTGTCAGCTTGTAGAGTTAAGTTGCATTTATTAATCCTCCATATATCTCAGATTGGTGGGAGCATCATGCATAGGCTGCTTACTGTATATGGTCATTATTGGATCAGGTCACTACTCAGTTCATTGGGTGATAAACTCAATTCATCCCTAATTCTGACCAAATTGGATCTCAAATCAGATGAGGTTACAGCGGATTTAGGGGCATCCCTATATATATACCACACTTATATAAACATCATGTGCTGTTTTAAATAACTTACATAATGAAAAAGTCTCACAGTTCAAAATTCATTAAAAGAATCACAGATCCTATTATGCAGAATAACACATTTAGTTTAGGAAACAAATACATGCTACAAAAAAATAAAGATAGCAATGCAATGCGGCAAATGAACTTGTTGATTTGAGAAAACAATAACCTTAAATCAGTCTCACATCCTAACAAAACTGTCTTTCCTCAAGTTCTCCAAATCGAGAACACTAGGGGGCAACCAAAATATCAGTGATATCCAAATTCTTTTATCCATTAGACAAGTTACAGAAGCAGTCTAACAATGTATCAGTATTAACGTACAGCTACTAAATTACTAATCTAGGATACTGCATAGTGAGAGGAAAAATAAATGTCACAAAGAAAACATGACATGAAATTATTTATTTGTCAGTTATAAATTAGGAAGCCAGAATGTACCTCAAGCCAGTTAGGAAAGCCAAAGGAGCATCTAGCACATAGCTTAGGTGAATTTTCATCCCCCTGAACGATGTACTCGCCTTCGCAAATAATTTGGAAGATAGCTTTGTACTTCTCAGACTTGTTTGTGATGCGAAGGGTGCCAATCTCTTGGTTTTTCAGGATGATGTCATTTGTGCCGACACTAAAGTCTGGAATAGCACGAGATTCTTCAAGAGAGGACCTTATTTTCCCAAGAGACATTGTTATTTGTCCCCATACTTCCCTCCTTATCAATTCATCTGCATGTGCAATTTCCACAGAGAATATGCATCTCACAGGCTTGTGATCACTATCAGTAACATCCATACATGCTTCATACCTAGTAAGATAAGATGCCATGTTCATTAGTGACAAACATTGTTGCTTTTGATTCTGCAAAATAGACTTCAAAGTTCAAACAGAATTTTACAGTGTGATTGATGAAACCACAGGGCACTCTAATGAGCATTCGGCCACCGAAATTGAACGGCTATCACGATACAATACTCTGTCACACCAAGCAGGAATTCGCTTCTTTTCACTGGAATCATATCCTAAGAAAGCAATTAACAACTTATCTTCATTGAATATCATAAGAAACAACAATGGTAAAATTTAAAGCCAAGTAACTTGCCAACCGAACAATAAACAACCACTCATCACATCATACCTTCGTAGGTATAAGATATAATCTTACCTAAAATTATTTAATAATTAACCTTCACATTCTCATCCAGAAAAACTGATCTACACAAAATTAATTATGTTACAAGCATACCTGATAAGCCCGGTTGGTGCCTTTCGAACTTGTACGTTGGAGGAAATTTAATTTGCCCTTCACGCATTCCTTGGAAGACTTTACCTGCTTTCATTTCTGCTCGGAGCTGATCCTTTTCTCTTAGCCAATCAAAGCATCTCTGAGAAACCATGTCCCTGGCTTCATCGTAAGTGATACTATGAAGCCGATAATTAAAATCACCAAGAAAAACGACCATGTCAGCTTCGGACAGCTCAGGTCTCCCATCATCAGGTTGAGATCCTGTAACCTGCCAATGCCATAAAGTAGTTATATTTGATATACACTTAACTGCATCAACAAATAAAGACTGAAAGAGTTACCTAATACAACTGATTTTAAAGTAATAAGATTTATTACATACATTTACCCCACGGTTCAACTGAACAGACGTAGGACCAGCTGCACCAGATATAAAACACACGTATTAAAATGAAGCTGCAAATATTGTATTGGCACACAGATAAATGTGTTCCATATCCATGCTAATGTCATATTCCCACTATGTGCTTAGAGATGCGAATTGCAAACCTGCGGCTCCATGAAGTCCTGTGGTTGGCCGGCTGAAAGCCATTGTTCGATAAACATGATCAAAGTCAGCATTCCGCCTGCTAACTGCTTCCAGATGTGCAGCAAAATGACAGTTCACAAAACATATTATCCGATCATAGACTCTCATCCTCAAACCTACAGCACCCTGTATGAAATCCTTAGACCATGAGTAATTTTCCTTTTCATTTGGACTTAAAGATGAATTGATACTCAGCTATCAGATATGGCCAATAACGAAGGAAAGATAAAGCATGACTCATAGAAGCACTAAATCAAAACAAACTGAGACAAATATGATTCACATAATATACAATTCCACATTTAAATCTCTCTTTGCGCAACTTATCCAACATAATTAAGTGATAGACAAGCAACAACCAAACAAAATGATCTGCAGCAACTTTATAAACACATTTTTTTCCGGTTATTCTTTTAGCCCCACTTCACTTCAAATTATTTGGGACGAAACAATAAAATTTGATGCACAAATTGCATATATACATCATAATACATCAAGTCAATACACATCAATTGTTACGTTTTGATGCATATTTCTGTAAGAAGTTCAAATGCAACACACGTACATAATTACTTTAACTAAAAGAAATGTGTAAAATGAGTACACACATCCATGTGAGTTTTCTTGACACAGAGATTTGACCACTATAATGAAAATTGATGCATAGGTGAAAGTCCTTTGCCCAATCAACAAATATTTATCAATTTCTAAATCTGGTTGGAGTTCTAGGTACATGACAGATTTTTCTCCACATGAGTTTTCCTCACACATAGATTTGGTCACTAGAAAGAAATTCAATTCATAGGCGAAAGTCCTTCTACCAAATGAAAAAAAATCCCCTATTTCCAAGATCTGATTAGAGTTATAAGTACACGACAGACTTTTTTCTGCTTCTACATTTAATAATAGAACACACAGATCTGATCATTTTAATCAAATAAGGAGTCAGAAATTACTTTCGGATGAAAACAATCCATATAGCCAGCTTCACTTCCTGGTGTATATATTTTGCAGTTGGGATTGACTATTTTTATGCAGTGATAAATCATACATATATATTTGGGAACACTAACCAAGACCATATTGATATCTTGCTTGTTTCGAAGTGTACCGTGGGAGCATTTGGTATTGGCATAAGTTGATTGCAAGTTAGAGGATGGTCCTTGGTACAACGGTAAAGTTGCTCTTTTGTGACATGAAAAACTAGAGTTCAAGTTAAGGAACAATCGGATATAAGACTGCACTGGATGCGCCTCGTGTAACTGGATGATAAAAAACGAATAGGATAACTTGGAGGACAAGGAGTAGCCCTCACATATTCTCACTCATTATATATATATATATATATATATATATACACACACACACACACACACACACACACACACACACACACACACACACACACACACACACTACACTATATACACACAC